ACACATGCCCAAGATCCCAAGAGGAGAATGGAGGTAAAGGGATTGCGGTGTGGCCATCCCCCCTGGGGGGGTGGTGGTGATTTCTCGCTTTCTGTCTCTGTCTCTCTCTGTCTTTCTGGTGAGCATATGCGCCCTATAGCAAAAACCTCTCCAAAAAAAAAAAAAAACCAAACTTCTTACCTCAGGTGCCAGAGCCCTGTATGATCTTGTTTCACCAATATCTTTTTTTTTTTTTGATCTTTTTTTTTTTTTAATGAGAGATTTTTGCTATAGGGTATGTGCGCTCACCAGAGAAACAGAGAGACAGAAAGAAATAAATCACTCGCAGGGCCCTCTCCTCCCTTCCCGTCTTGGGAATTAGGGCACACACACATATACGCACCTGGCATTAGTTTCAAGCCACTGGGTCCGGGACTCAGACTGCAGTTGACTACATGGGAGTCCAGTGACGTAATCATTACACCCTCTCCTGGTCCCTGCCTGTATCTTTTGACCTCATCTTATACAACTCTTCTCTTGTCCATCATTATCTAGGCACAGTTACCTTCTTTCCATTCCTCAAACTTAATAAGCTTCTTCCTCTACTTGGGTTCTTCCCTCTGACTTTTACCGCAATGGCTCCCTTTTGTCTTGGATCCTTTTCTTTTTTCTACACAGTTGTTACTGCCTATTTTAGTCCTACTTACTTTTCACTGTAAAATCTTTTTTTTTATTGTAAAAGTTTATTTCACTGTAAAAACTGCGTAAGTGTCCATGTTGCTTCCAATCTCTGTTCTCTAAACCATACTACCTTATTTGCATTGTGCTTCTTTGCTGTCAAAGACACACACACACACACACACACACACACACACACAAAACAAGCAAACAGAATACAATGGTTTACTTTGTTCCTCAGAAAGCCAAAGAAGCCTTTATCCCCTGCCTCTTTTAGACCCCTTTCACTACATCCCTGTATCCCTGTGCACCTGCCCTAATACTGTGATCATATCAGCTTCATGGTAGTTTGTCACCATATGAGGGGTCTTTAAAAAGTTCATGAAGAGGGGCCAGCAGGTGGTGTGATGCTTGGGGCTCTGGACTCTCCCGCATGGCCGGCCACAGTTTGAGTCCTGGACCTGGCAACTCACTTTCTCACTTTTTCTCTCTCTTTCTCTCTGGTGAGTGCATGTGCCCTATAGCAAATTAAAAATTAATAATAATCTGGCCCAACACCCAGCAAAAAGCCAGAATCCATGTGCATCTGAGGTGGGCCTAGCCCTGCCCTTTTAACCAGAAAAAACCTCTGCCCCAAACCCCTCCTTCTGGCCCAACACCCAGTGAAAAGCCAGAAGGTAGGAAGTAACATATAATCCATCAGGTGATCAGAAACCACCACTGCAGAGGCACAAGAAATATGGGAAATCAATAAAATATTGCTTCCCCCAAAGGGAAAGAATAGTCCTTCATGATCCACAGACAGTACAATGGGACTTGTGGAAATGTCAGATAAAGAATTTAGGATGTTCATAATGACAGAGTTCTAACAGAGAGGCAAGAGAAGAGAGACAACCTCCAAAAATGCAGGAGAAAAGAGACAAGTTTCAGGAGGTGAAGTTTTTCCATGATCTGCAAGAGGAAATACACACCATTAAAAAGAATTAAACGGAACTGTTAGAGATGAAGGCTGTAATACAGGAAATCAAAACCCCCTTGAAAGTATTAAAGGCAGATTAGATCATGCAGAAGATAGATTCTCAGATGTAGAAGATAGAACCTCTGACCTCAAAAAATTCACAAAAAAGACTGAGAAAATAACCAAAAAAATGAGACTAATATACAAGTAATACTAGATACCATTAGACACCCAAACATCCAGATAATCAGTATCCCAGAAGGTAAAGAAACTAATCAGGGCATTAATAATCTATTCCATGAAATCTTGGAAGACAAATTTCTAAATCTAGAGAGGCATTCAGATATCCAGACCCAAGAAATACAAAGGACCCCACATAAAATCAACCCAAGAAGATCTTCTCCAAGGCACATCATAGCCAGATTGACCAAAACCACAAAGGTAAGATACTAAAATTGGCAAGAGAAAATGTCAAGTTAATTTCAAAGGATATCCCATCAGGCTAACATCGGACCTCTTGTCAGAAACTAAGCGAGGAAAGAATGGAAAAATATATTCAAGGTGTTAAGTGAAAATTTAAACCGAAAATACTGTATCTGGCAAGATTATCCTTCATGTGGGAAGAAAAGATAAAAACATTCTCAGATAAACCAAACCTGAAAGAACTTACCTATACCAGACCAGCTCTTCGAGAAGTTTTGAGGGGAGTACTGTACCAAGAAAACTAAAGACAGACAAGTAAGAGAACAAAAAAATGACCAAGAAAAAGGTCAACCTAACAATAGGGACAGGTTCTGAAATAATAATAATGTTGAATGTTAACAGAAAGTTCATACCACGGTAACACTGCAAATTCAACCAAAGAGATTACATGAAACTGAACTGGTGATATAGAATTCCATGACTTTTTTCTAAAACATTACTGATTTTCTTCTATGCTTTGTCTTCCAGCTTTAAGGATTTTTGTTTTCTTTTGAGTTTTTGGGTTCAGCAAGTTGTTAAAAAAAAAAGAATTTTTTTTTAATTGAAACATAAACTTTTCTCCCTTCCTGACCCCTTTGCAATTGGAAAGTATTTGTGAGCATTCTTATTTTGTGGCAGATTGGTTATTTGTATAAGTTCAATAATACAATGATATCTGTTGCCTTGCATCAGAAATTGAATTCTTATGGGGCTTTGTGCAAATAACAGACCAAATTGAGATTGACCTAATTTTTTTTTCAAATAAGTTAGTTTAGACCTCTTTTTAGTAAGAGGGAATTGGGGGGGGGATGTTTCAGAAGAAAATTACAGTGCAGTTGTCACTAGATCCTAGCTTTGTCCATACTTTAAGAATCAATAAAATATGGAGAGACAGACAGCTCCATGGCTCCTGCGATCTAGCCATTTTGGGAAAAAGGAAGATGTCCCACTGATAACTGGGCCTCCAGCATACAAAACTCGCATGAACAGCCCTTCTTCAAGAGACAGACAGCTCCATGGCTCCTGCGATCTAGCCATTTTGGGAAAAAGGAAGATGTCCCACTGATAACTGGGCCTCCAGCATACAAAACTCGCATGAACAGCCCTTCTTCAAGAGACAGACAGCTCCATGGCTCCTGCGATCTAGCCATTTTGGGAAAAAGGAAGATGTCCCACTGATAACTGGGCCTCCAGCATACAAAACTCGCGTGGTAGGAAGACCCTTTTTGATAGTGACATTGGCATTTCACCAGAAATAAGTTTTAGAGTTATCTTTTTTAAAGTGTTCTTTCCCTGCCTTTTCTCTTATAATCAAATCTGCATATATTTAAAAATATCATAGAATCTGAGAGTATAAAGGTCCTTTGTGATCATCTGATACTCACTTTGCAGGTAAAGACTTGTATGAACACCAAAGTGTTTCCAGTGAGTAAGTGGCAGAAGAATCTCTGACTCAGGCATACCCATTGGTGTTGTCAATGACAGGGAAATTGTTCTCCTCCCTTCTGATCTGAAGGATCCTATATAACATCATCTGAGATGCACTAGGGACTCAGGAAGAGGGACCTTGAAAATCTACAGTTATATTCTGTCCTGTCATGGGGAGAAACAATCTCTATAGAGAAGAGTGGAGAAAAGAGAAGTCCTCATTGCTGGGCACACGTATACACCAGAATTTTGATGAATAGTGGACATTAACTGAGCCAAACATGGGCTGGCGGGACATTTTTCAAGGATAATGGAAGAAAGTGGCTAAGGTTTGGGCCGATTTCACATAAAAAAAAAAAAAGGCTTTGGAAACCATTCATTATTACAAATATTTGCCTATCCACATTTCAGGAGCTAGGTAAAATCATTGAGAATTGATACCCTGTCCCTTCTCTACTTTTTAGACTTTATCTACTAAAAACAAGATGTGAGAAAAGCAAGTGATAGGAATGATGGAGATTAGGCTTTCCATAAAATGAGTGTGTAGGCTTCTTAGGAGTAAGAGTGGGGAAGGCCGCTGACCATGGATGCTTATTCTCCTTCTAATTCTGTCTTCCATGAAACACATTTTGAAAATGTTCGTAGTGTTTTATTTTTTGTTACTCTGTCACTCTAGATAGTCTTTATTTTTTCTGTTGCCAGCTCCTTAATAAAGAGTACAGTTAGAATAGTAGGTACCCAATGATGCTTTGGCATGAGTATTTTCACAGTTTTCAGATCATGTGTATCCTTCATTGTCATTCTGTGTCAATCAAAATCTCTTTTGGCCTTGCTTCTCACATCTGTAAAATAAATAAAATAGTACTATCTAGCTCATATAATTTGTTATAAAGATAGACTGTTGGGGCTAACAGGTGACATGTGGTCAGAGTGCTGAACTCTCAAATGACTGACTGTGGTTCGAGTCCCAGACCTGGAAGTTTGCTTTCTCACTTTCCCTTTCTTTCTCTCTCTGGTAAGCATGCATGTTCTGTAGCAAAATTAAAATAATAATAATAATGATAAATAGTTAAATAAAAATTCTCAAAAAAAAAAGAATGTTAATACACATAAAGCTCTTATACAAGTCTGGTATACAGTAATGACTCAGATGTAGCGCTGTTACCATTATTGTTATCGTTACTAACTGATGTAGTCATACTTTTTATAACTGTATCCTAACTAATACATTTCTTTTATGTATATTTGTTTTTAATGTATTGGGTTGTCAGGAAAGTCATGATACATTTTTGTACAGAAAAATAGAAAAATGCGTTTTGGCTTTCCTGATGACTTAATGTATCCCCTTAAGCTTCCTTCTTAGTCTTCTCCAATTTTAAGCAATTTAATGAAAAATTAATACATGCAAAGATGGCCGATTTAATTTCTCCAGCCTTTTGGAGTTAGACTTCTTTTTCTTCTTAAGAGTAAACTTATTTTTTCCTTCATGTTACAGGTGGTATGCAAGATTACAATTATGTATGGGCCAACTGTTTTGAGATCACACTAGAACTGTCTTGTTGCAAGTACCCACCTGCTTCACAACTTCGACAGGAATGGGAAAACAACCGTGAGTCCTTGATCACATTGATTGAAAAGGTAAAAGTAGCTGACCAGGAGATTGGGGTGTAGATGTCATGGATTAAATAAGGGGAAATTTAGTCACATATGAATGGCAATTTGTATTAGATATCCTTTATTTGTCTGTTTTGTTTGTTTGTTTTGCTTTTAATTTCCTGTTGGGTCATGTGCACTTGCTACAGAGAGACAGAGAAAAAGAGAAAAAGAAAGGGAAAGTGAGAAAGCACCCCCTGGGGGGGATAGCTGTGCCATAGTCCTTTCTCTTCCATTCTCCTCTCAGGATTTTGGGCACACGGGCACACATGTCTACCATGTTTTTCTAGCTGTGGGGTCTGGTACTTGAACTGCATAGTCAGCTTTGTGGGATCCAGTTATCTTTACCACCACACCCTCTGCTGACCCTTATTTGTCTGTTTTAATTATTTAAAATTATAGATAATTAGACCATAACCTATTAAAACATATTCTAGCTGTGCCTCCCCTGTTCTCAATTCTTGGCTCTCTGCACCATACTCCTTTTGCTTGTCTTAGAACACTTTTACAAACTGAACTAATTAGCCAGGTTTGTACTACCAGATTCTCACAATGCCATGTGTTGATATTTACTGGAGAGCCTTTATCACTCTGTGAGTCATATGCATCAGTTTAATTTACACATCAGACAGGCTAATGCAAGTATTGAATATACCAGAAATGATACCTTGTTGGGAAAATTAGGTCTGGCTTTGAAGAGAGGAACTTTCAAAAACACCTTACTAGTGTAGAGTTCAGACACATATGACTTAAGTTTAGGATTCAATACTTTTGCCTATACTTCAGCTTCAAGGAATTGAAAAATGTTTTGGGGAGATAAAAGAGTAACCTTATCTTTTAGAAATTCTGTCATCATTGCAGAAAGAAGTAATGTTCTCTTGCCATCCAAATCAGTTGTCTCTGAGCCTTGATTCTTGTTTTTTGTCTTGTTTTGTTTTGTTTTTAGGTTCACATTGGAATTAAAGGATTTGTTAAAGATTCAGTAACAGGATCTGGTTTGGAGAATGCAACTGTCTCAGTGGCTGGTATTAATCATAATATCACAACAGGCAGATTTGGTGATTTCCACAGACTGCTTGTTCCTGGAACTTATAATCTTACTGTAGTTTTAACTGGGTAAGAGATTAAATTAGACTCTTAATTAAAATGTCAAAGCTCTGCTTTATATCTAAGATAGAAATACAGTAAATGTTATTCACTGTATGTGGCTTTTATTTTCCTTATTTTGACTTTTCTCCTTTTAAAAATATATTTATTTATTTTATTTATTATTATTATTGAGTTTGACCAGAGAGAGAGAGAGAGAATGAGAAAGGGAGCTTCCAGGTCCAGGATGCTAGCCATGGTCAACCATATGGGAGTCCAGCGCCTTAACCACCATGCCACCTGCCGGCCCTGATATTTCTCCTTTTATGCTGATACATTACTCTCATGGAGTTTTTGGGTTTTTTGTTTTATTTTGTTTTTAATCACACAAACAGTATAACTGGATGTGAAGTATAATTGTGTAATTGGGAGGAAGGACAATTTCAAAGGCTTGCAGAGATGCTCAGCTGTATAAAGTATTTACTCAAGGCTAATTGGATATCAGAGTAGAAGAAACCTGGGGCCCTATAAATCACATATCGAAGAACTATCTTTTCAGCTTTCTAATATATTAAACCAGTGGTTTCCTACTTCCCCTAGAAATCTTTTTGAAGGTTCACTTTGATAAACATGTCATTGATAACTTTTAATTTAATTTTGAACTTTCTTGGAAATGAAGTTAGAAAATCAGTTTGATAAGGCACTGCAAAGAATGGATAATTTATCCCTTCTTGAGTATTTTGTCAGTGGCTACAGTGGAGTAATCACCTCCATCTTTCAACATACTCTTTTCTTTGAATGTAATTGTTTTTAATCTTGAAAATTTTGAATTTTTCTTTAAAGACAGGATCTCACTGTGTCACAATCCTCCTGCCTTAGTCTCTTAAGTAGCTGGGACTACAGGCACATGCCATCAAGCCTGGCTCACGTGGGGCCTCATTATGTTGCCAGGCCAGCATCTAGTCACTTGCAGTTACTGGCATTACAGGTGTCCCTCACTGTGCCTGGCCTTTAGGTTGGGCTGGAACTGAACCCAAGCATTTCAGGTGGGCACAGCCTCTTGGCAGCAAGCGCCTCCATGGCTGAGCCTGAATGTAATTTTTTTGTAAGCATTCTACTGGATGGTACCTGAGAAGATTAATCAGAGAACTATTCTTTTTTTTTTTTTGGAGAGGTTTTTGTTATAGGGCGCGTGCGCTCTCCAGAAAGACAGAGAGAGACAAAGAGATAGAAAGCAAGAAATCACCCCACATGGGGGATGGCCATGCCTCATTCCCTTCTCCTCCATTCTCTTCTTGGGATCTTGGGCACACACGCACGCACACGCGCCTGG